GGGCGGGGGCGGGGCCGCGCCCAAGCGGGAGCGCGCTTCGCGGCGGGGCTCGCCTCCGGTTCCCGAAGGCGTGTCCGGCGGGTCCCTGCCCGAGGCGTGACTCCTCCTTTAAGGGGAATTTTTCTTTGGGAGTGGAAAATGGGAGGGCTGGAGCTAGCGAGATGTCGAAGAGACTGTCTGCGTTTAAAACCGCAAAGTTTAGGGAGGTGGGCAGAAGAAAGGACGGAGTGTCCCTGGAGCCTGCTATAAGTAACTCAGCAGCTGGTTTCTTCACTCAAAGGATAAGCAGGAGCAGGTGACCGCGACACACCTCCACAGGGGCGGCCCTTGGGGACCCCGGCTCGCTCCTCCTAACCTGTGGGCTTCATTCAATGCAGTGCGGGCTCTAGGGATCTACACACATCATACTTACACGAGTAGTGTTTAAAGACTGCAGGGGAAATACACCAAGAATGGTGACAGTGTTAATGCTGGGATTACAGAAGGTTTTTATTTTTGAAAATTTGTATTTTTCAATTTTTCTAAAATAATTTTTATGTTCGGATTTATTACTTTTATAAAACCACCTTTGCTTTATGAAGTAAAATCGTGAATTCTGTAAATAGTTTTCTGAAATACAGGGGGGAGAGTGTAAAGGAGTAGATGGCTATTTAAAAGAAAATCTGGTGAAGCTTTTTGTAAATCAAGGCATCTGTGTGTGCAACGGCTACCTAGTTAACTTGTTTTAAAAGTTTGGATGCTGGGTTTTCTTAAAGTTAGAAATGTCTTTAAATGTGAAATTATAACTTGAATCACACACCTCCCCTTCCAAAGAAAGGATGTAATTTTCCATCCGAAGATGTCTTTGAACTCTCTGAGCCATGTGTAAGAGACTGGAAGACAGTGACACCCAGGGAGCTTTCCATTCTGCCCCTCACTCCAAGAAATTGGGCTAAGAAGCCATGTGTAAAATTGCATTAAGATTCAATGTGGGGAAATGCCAGTGTTTTTGTTCTAAGCCTGGCTGTCAAGTCAAACTGGACAAAGTCTCTAGCAGCCTAATAATATGGATGTACTTGAACTGCAACATTTTTTTAGGTCGCTCAGTGACTGCATGATGAGGAACAATAGGAAGTTCTAAGAAAGGTAATGGTAATTATTAGAGTAAGAAAAACAAATAAGTTAAATTTAGGTTTACAGTATAAATGATTAGCAAAACACATTAAACCAAATCAGCAAACATGATTAGTATATATTATATCACACTAATATTATATCACACTCCAATCATAGTCTTTTGGGGGGGGGGGTCCATTAATATCTATCCTCCTAAACAAGACAAGGACCTTGGCACACTTTACTTATTGAATATCCCCTCTTCTTCGCTGTTAGTGTTATTTAAGATTTTATCTTTTGAAAAAAAGAAACTTGTGCTTATTTTTTAATCAGTCAATACTTATTTGCATTGATCAATTTGTATTAGTCAAGATCAGTGGCACGTGGGTGGGGAAGAGGGTGGCTGTAGAGCAGGTTGATCCAGCAGGGAAGAATACTATATTATACTGACCCTGTCTGACGGAGTGGACCTAATAGTCATGGGAAACACAGGACAAACAGAAGCACCGTGAATTTGAGTAAAAGAGCGAGAGACAGTTGAAAACAGAGTCCATGGGGCCCCAATCTTATGTGAATATAAGCTGACAAAACTACTCATTAGCAAGCACGGGCCATTTCTTATAAAAAAATAAAAAAGAAAAGATGACTCCGAATACAGAGGAAAGAGCCCAGAGCGCAGAGCCAAGAGCTGCTGAGTATAACTCCCAGGAAGCAGGACTGGGACTTAATGAAGAAACTGGTAACATGTTTCCAACTAGATTTTATAATCAGGGTGGATGAGTAACTGCTGTTTGCCTCCTTTTTCCCCCTTTTGAATGGGACTGTTTACTATCCTATGCCTGTTTTACCATTGTATGTGGATCTATATGGGTGGATAATTTTTCTCTTTTGCTCACAGGTCTTTAAGTTAAGAGGACATGCACTTGAATATAGACTGGACTTTGTGATTGGCTTCACCATGTAGAGGAAGTAATGAGATAGGAGGTGCTCAGTTTCCTTGGGTTGGGGTTTCAGGACACCCCATTGAGTTTCAAGCCACTCCCCAAGGTCTCAGTCCCCTCCTCTAAGCCCTCCCCTAGAGGAGAATTACTGTTGCTGATTGCACCTATTTTCAGCACCAATAGGAGAAATTGAGACCCCAAGGGGCAGATTTGTAGCACTCCAATGGCTGAGCATGCTCAGTAAAAAGGAGTTATAGAACCCCAATGACTGAGCATGCTCAGTAGAGAGGAATCTATTCTTTGAATGATGTTCCTCTAGAGCAGCTTGAGAGAAGTGAATATTCTAGAAGTTTTCCAGTAGGTATGTTGGAATTAGCCCAATGAGCAGGCTCTAAAAAGGGACCAACTCAACATATGCAAGACTATGTTACATAACTGGGAACCACCCATTAGTTAATTATTCATTAAATAGCACGAATATGTATTAGACAGCAGAACTATAAAAGTTGAATACCAGTTGGAGGCAGAGTTGTTGCTCACTCTCTTTGGGGTCAGCCTGCCCTTTGCCTGAGGTGTGTATTTCTTTCTTTTTGCATCAGACTTGCCTTTAGCAGGCTGTTGTTCCCTCTGAGGCTAGCCTGCTCTTTGTAAATGTGTATTTCTTACTTTTGTGTTAAACTTGCTGCAGTTGGATGCTTGCTTTCCTGGGGCCAACCTGTACTTCGTTGGCAGAAATGTGTATGCTTTGCTTATAGGTTAAACATATTTCTAAGGGCAGCTGCTCACTCTCCTGAGCCAGCCTATGCTTTGTACTAAACTTTAAATGTGTATTTTTCACTTCTGTTGTTAAACTTGGTGCAGGCCCTGCTGGTTCTCTGGAGTTAGGCTGCACTTTCTCTGTGAAGCCTATACTTCTTAACCATTACATTAAACCTTTTTTCACTTTGTACTGTGCCTCTACTCTTGAATTCTTTTCTGTGGTGGAGTCAAAAACCTGCTAGAGGACAGGGTGGGTTGAGGCAGGCTGCTGGGCCTTCCCAGACCCTCTCCTCTGATACCAGTGACATTCGAGGACTTCCAAAACTAACTTAGGAAAAGACTTGCAGCTTTTGTCTGGATCTCTCAGAATGCTTGGTCTTTGGGTATTTCCTCTTAGAACCCAGCTACCATGCTTCAAGAAGTCCAAGTCAAATAAAGAACTGCTCTGGTTGACAGCCCCAGCTGAGCTCCCAACAACTGCCCACCACATGAGTGAGCCTTCTTGAACATCCAGCCCAATTACGCCTTTGGATGATTCCATGTCAGCTACTGTCTATTTGTAACCACAAATCCAAACTGAGAATCCATCAGCAAAGCTCAGTAAACCCACAGAATCCTGAGTGAAAATAAAGTTTTCATCCAGTAAACGTTAAGTGGTTTATCACACAGTAGTAAACTGGAAAAGAATTTAATAATAGAGACAAGAACAGAAATCAATAAAAGAATTTAATAATAAACTCTTTTTCTTATTAAAATAAAAATAATTTAATAATAGAGGGCCGGCCTGTGGCTCACTTGGTAGAGTGTGGTGCTGATAACACCAAGGCCGCGGGTTCGGATCCTATATAGGGATGGCCGGTTTGCTCACTGGCTGAGCGTGGTGCTGACAACACCAACCCAAGGGTTGAGATCCCCTTACCGGTCATCTTTAAAAAAAAAAAAAAATTAATAATAGAGACAAGAGCAGGAATCAATAAAATAGGAAAAAATAAATAGAACAGATTGTTAAGAAAGTTGGTTCATACAAAGGTGAATGATGTAGATACAACTTTGGTCTGATTGACTAATAAAAAACAGAGAAGTTAGAAATTAAAATACAGAATTTTAAAAAGGAGAACAAATATAGCCGCCACAGAGATTTAAAATAATAAATGTATGTTATAAATAATTATTAACTAATAAAATAAAAAGCCTAGATAAATTGAACAAATTCCAAAAAAAAAAATATATATATATAAAGCCAAAATTTATAAGAAATAGAGAATTTGAATACATCATAAGCATTGGAGTAATTATCAAAACACTTCTCTTTCAAATTACCCGAAACCCAGATGGAATTACAGATGAGCCCTATCAGACTTCCAAATAAGAGTTAATCCTTTTTTATACAAATTGAGAAAAAAGATGAAGAGGTAAAGCCACCCGGATCTTTTCATGAAGCTAGTATAATCATGATTTCCAAACCAAACGTGGAAGAAGAAAGAAAACAATAGCCCATTTCCACTTATGAAAATAGATGCAAAAATTCTAAAAGAAATATTCTGTAATCAAATCCAAAAGTGTAGTAAAACCAAAATATAAACAAACAGAACAAAACAAAACAAAACAGTGACAATACCATTCCTGATTCTCTTTGCCCTCTTTTTCCTTTTGCACAGCATGTATCACTTCCAAGCTTATTACATATTGTCTTTTATTTAATGTCTGTCTCCTCATGGTTCACTGATCCTAGGCTCCTAGAACAGTCTCTGGCTCAGTAAACATTTCTTCAAAGAATGAAAAACATGGCAAGACAGGGCTTATGTTTGTATTACATGGTGTAGTGTCCTGGATTTAAGCCGTGCTGTGACAAAAATAAATCTGTCATGGGGAGTACATGGGCAGATATTCCAGGGGAGGGAGAGTCTTAAGAGGTGAGTGGATGGTGATGAGAGGACTCAGTAGTAAGTTTGATTGTGGGTTAGAGGACCTATATCATACACAGAATCTGTGCTTTCACGATTCACAATTTCACAAGTTCCGCAAAGAAGGGGCACCTCTGTACAGAAACAGAAACTCTGTTAATAAAATACAAGGGAAAGAAACTAGCCACCATGGTTTTCTTCTTCCTCCTCCTCTTCCTCCCCTGCTGTCTGTAAGGTGCTTGGTGGTTGCAAAGGAGGAAAGAGACAAGATCTCTGGACTTCGAA